AGACACACACACTGACAGACACACACACACACACACACAGGCAGACACTCACTGACATACATACACTCACTCACTCACTGACACACAAACACAGGCAGACACTCACTGACAAACAGACACACACACACACATACTCACTGACAGTCAAACACTCACACACTCACTGACACACAGACTCACACAAATTTATTTTTGAGACCCATCTAGCCTCCCTACCTCTCTGGGGTCCAGTGTGGGGCAGCTCCTCACTCCTCCTGCGCGCTGTTTTGTATGCCGGGGCCGGCTCCCGACATCACAGAGGGCACACGAGGGAGGAGTGAGAGGCTGCGAGAAGAGCCTCCCACGCCGCCTGGCTTCTCCTCCCCCCTCTCCTCGGGACAGGACACTGTTATCTTTTGGCAGAGCCCTGTGATAGGGTTCCTCTCGGCACCCCCACCTTCAGGTGCCTTGAGGATCAAGAGGCGCTCGCCCAGCGCTGCGGCCCCAGACAGGGGCAGGCATCCCACCAGGAAATATCACGGAAATATAACGGTTGCGCCGGCCCTATGTTTATTTATGTGTCTGTCTGTATGTGTGTGTATGTATGTATGTGTGTGTGTCTGCATCTATGTGTGGGGATTTAGACGTATGGGGGGGGACCCAGGGCAATTTTTGCACCGTGCCCCGGGGTTTCTGGTTACGCCTCTGGATGTGAGGTTTGCATGCAGCTACTTGGCTATGGAAACCCATTTCATGAATTCCTGTCATTGCTAATTTACAAACAGTGAGATTGCATATACATTATCAATTAGTCATTTTGGAGCCTTAGCAGCAGCCAGTAAAAGTTCTTGCCATAAAAAATAATAGGTATGTAGGTATAAGGACAAACCTACCAAATCTCTGTCTAGGGCAGGGCCATAGGATTTCTGGCATAGATCTAATTTCCACATGTAAATTGCTTAGTCTATCTAATAAATACAATTTGCTGTCACTATTTTTGTGTTTTTTAACTTGCTTCGAGAAGTTTATATGACTACATTAAAGGAACACTGAAGTGTTAGGAATACAAATCTGTATTCCTAATATTATACTGCCCCCTCCTCCACCCCCCAAAAAAACAATGAAATAAAAGTTTTACTTTACTTACCTCCCCCCCTCCCACAATATTATGGAGGAGGCATGAACTCCTCCAAGATCATCCAATCCAATGCTCCTCATAGAGGACCTATTAAATACTATCCTATGAATGTGACAAAGTTTTATTCAGTCAGCACAGTGGAAGCACCTCTAGAGACTGCCATATGACAGCCACTAGAGGTGAACTTATCCCTACAATTAAACAAACAGGCAACAGGTCCTGTTACTTCCTGGTTGTTTAGCTCAGTGGAGCTAAACTCAAGAGGCAGCAATTGCTCAGATCAGCTGCCTTGCAAAGCCTTCTCATTGAGCTGCATTGAGAAGTGTGTGATTGGACAGTCACAGAAAGTCTGGGTGGTGTTAGAAGGGGAGGGTTTGCAAAAGCTGCAGACAAGAAAAATGCAGGTTTTTGCATGCGATTTTAAGATATAATGCCTTTGAAAAAACACATAATTAAATGCATGCATGTTGCTATTTGGAATATATCTACTAAACCGTAATTTGTATTTATTTTGTATTTGTATTGTGTCCCTTTAAGAGCTTCTGGGTATGAACAATTAGTCTGAAATGTAATTCTATATATTCCACAATGCATTATATAAAACGCTGATGATATAGAAATTAAATAACAAATTAGAAAGTAGTTAAAGTTTAATCTTTGCCTTAAACTGCTACAATAAGTACTTTTAGAATGTTGCAGCGGCAGCAGCATACGCTCAGAGCATCGAGATAATAAACATATACGCTCAGAGCATCGAGATAATAAACAATCCAGCCCCCATGCATCTTACTTCATGTACATCAGACTTTAATTGGTGTATTGGTTATAAACTTCTAGGAAAGGCTATAACGTGACAGAAAACAGGGGGAAAAAACAATTATTATTATTTTTCAAATGTATGACACATTGTGAAATGTAAGGTTTAGAGAAGGTCACATAAAGAGCAAATTAAAGAAATCAAGGAAAATGTGACATCTCCTACTAAGAGCAGGTGTACTGGGAAAATAAGTGTGAACACGACTGCCAATTATACTGTAAATTAGGAAACAAAGTTTGTGAGAAATGATTACATATGAGGATGAAAGAGCTCATTACAGTTTCGTTCTTTTTCCATGGCTTTTATCACTATTGTATATTCAGTAATAATTTGATATGATGTAATTTCATCCCCTTCCATGCTAGGGTTGGTAGGCATAGATCCATGTGAAGAATGGAGAGGGATTAGAAATAAAAAAAAAATTGTTTCTGTTTGTTTTTTTATTTAATTTTACAGAGAAAAAGAACTGAATATCTGCATATTTAGTTAAGACAGCAGATGGATGATGAGGACATGTAATGAATATATTCTAAGGATCAAACATCAGTTATCTAGGTCATAATTCTGCCAACCTACCTTAAGGACCAGGGGTATTTCTGGGGGGAGTTAGCAGGTGCTGCAGCCCCAAATGCAGTCCTTAAAATCTCAGGGTCTCATTTTGGAACCATGTCATTGTCAGCCGTAAATCCACTATATTACATAGAGATAAATAATGCCTCCAATTACATAATTTGTGACAGGTTCATAACTCCATATTTGGAGTTAATTGTACAGCACAGTGTGGAGTTTATAAATCTAATTCCATACAATACTCTGAATTCAATGAAAGATTTGGTCTCACACTGTGATTTATAGAACACACTAGGGTGCATGGTCAGACTTAGTATAGGGTTGGTTTTAGGAGGGGCTTAGGTCAATATATGTGGGAGAGAACATACAATTTACCTTTGGGCTGAAGACCCTGATCTTTTTGCCACCTAGCAATATTCCTGTTTAGGACCCACAAGCAAAGCAATGTTGTAGCTGTCCATGATTTAGGACAAGTGCTTAGTGGCATAGGATGTCCAACAGGGACATCCTCAACTTCTACACTGTTGGTGGTTCCTGTTGACATGTTTGAAGAACATTTATCTTGATAAAACATTTATTTTATATTTTTTTCTCTGATTTTTTTAATTTACATTTGTGTTTGTTATTTTAATGAATAGCATAATTAAAATTTGCATTTAGGTATGTGTATTAACCGTTACCCTTGCCGTTACAGTTTAAGGTCAACATTTACTTACAATGAAGTTTCATTTTTTTTTTTCTTGCAAATAAAATTTTTCATTACTGAAAACTCCCTAGAAGCATGATGCATGCATACATCAAAATGCAGATCATACATGGACAGACTTGAAAGACTTGAAAGTCAGACTAAGCTTGCAAGAAATTCAAAAAGGCTAATGGGCAACTCAGCAGAATTTCAAATGCTAGGGAGATTAATGTTCCTATCTTATAAAAAGGTAGCAATGGAAAGGTGATGCAAAAAAAATAAGTCGTTTTTCTGACAAGAAACTGCTACACCATCTGCTGAACAGGGTATGGTGTTGCAATTTCTATGATTTCCTATCATAGTCAGAGACTTTTTTTTGTCAGCACTATTTAGTTATGAGGTTAATAAATTATTATAACTCCTAAAATAACTCCAATGTATGTATATGATCTAGTGGTCATATTGTTCAAAGCCCATGACTAAAATATTAATAAAACACTATTATAAGGGTTTTAATAACAGTGGATCGTAATCTTATTTTTTCTTTCTTTTTTTACTCTTTCTTTTTATATATTCTTGATAAAGGTCCCATTAGTGGACTGAAATGTTAAATGCTTTTTCCAATAAAATAAAGTCCTTTAACTGCTCTCGCTCTGTGGAAATATTTGCAAAGCCAGAGATTGCATACGAGTATGGAACTGTGAGTGAAGTCTATGGTGCATGGTCCTTTCCTCTTATAAGATATACATAATTTACAGTTAAAAGGACAGTTCCCATCCTGCAACATACTGCATTGTCATAGGCGTGCGCACAGGGTGTGCCGGGTGTGCCTGGGCACACCCTAATCCCAGCGGCACACCTATGGATTGAGACCGGCAGGGGAGATCTCAGAATCTCCCCTGTCGGCTCATGCAGAGCCGGCACTATCCGAGCGCTGGCTCTGCTCTCAGCCTCCATGGGCCGGTGGGGAGATCAAAGATCAGCACCCACACAAATACAGCAACCTCACACACATACAGCTCCCTCAAACACACAGCACACTAACAGCACCCTCACAAACACATAGCACCCTCACATATACAGCACCCACACACATACAGCACCCACACAAATACAGCACCCACACAAATACGGCACCCTCACACACACAGCATCCTCACACATTCAGCACCCACGCACACACAACACCACACACATACAGCACCCACACACATACAGCACACTAACAGCAACCTCAAACACACAGCACACTAACAGCACCCTCACAAACACACACACACAGCACACTCACACACATACAGCACCCTCACACATACAGCACACACACACACACTGCACCCACACACATACAGCACACAAACAGCACCGACACACATACAGCACACAAACAGCACTCAGACACACACAACACCCACACACATACAGCACCCTCAAACACACAGCACCCACACACACACAGCACCCTCACACAAACAGTACACTAACAGCACCCTTACAAACACACAGCACCCTCACATACAGCGCACACACAGCACACTCACACACAAACAGCACACTAACAGCACCCTCACAAACACATGAAAACCACACACAGCACACAAACAGCACCCTCACACACAGCACCCTCACACAGCACACTAACAGGACCCTAAAAAACACACACACACAGCAAACTAACAGCACCCTCACAAACAGCACACTACCAGCCCCCTCACACACACATCACACTAACAGCACCCTCACACACAGCACCATTACACAAACAGCTCCCTCACACCACCCTCACACAGCACACTAACAGCGCACACACACACACACACACACACAGCAGTGTATGTATGTGTGTGTATATATATATATATTTATATATATATATATATATATATATATATACACATACATACATACATACATACATACGCGGCGTGTGTTTGTGCTTTAGGGTGCACACCCTAATGCAATAGGCTGCGCACGCCTATGTGCATGGTATAGATCATGTACCTGCGCTCTAACTGCTCAATTTTCTGTCATTTAGGAGTTAAATATATTTTGTTTCTCTAGCCACACCTCCCCTGGTTTGACTCACACAGCCTGCATGAAAAATATGGTTTCATATTCAATCAGATGTTAACTTACATTAGAAGGTTTTATCTCTTGCTCTGTAAATTGAACTTTAATCACACACAGGAGGCTCCTGCAGGGTCTAGAATGCTATTAACAGAGCAGGAGATAAGAAATTCTGAATTAAACAGACTGTGTGGTAAAGAAAGTTTAAACATCAGATCACTCTTTACAGGAAGTTAGGAACTAGGGCTGTACCAGCAATGTGATTTAATCCTGAATGGCAAAGAATTGAGCAGCTTTCTCAAAAATAATCTGTTCCCCCTGACCCTCTACCTTATGAAGACAATGCCTATTAAACTTCCAAAGGGCAGTCAAAGTCCAGTTCTCCCACCCTCCTAGGCTGCTAGTGAGATTATGTCATGGGTGGCAGTATGGAAACCGGGAACCCTGAGTGCCTGATGATGATGGTGGCAGTCTCAGCGTGGAAATGGACCATCAGGGTCTGGTACAGGTTAACCACACGCATCCTGGTGTTGAGCACCAGCGTTTGTGCGGCCACATACCAGGGCCCTGATGCAGCTTCTGCGGATCCCAAGAGCTAGATGATATGCAGACCTCCCAGGAACTGGATAGCAGATATGTATCCAGTACAGAAACAAGGCAAGACTAGGACAGGCACCTAACAAGAAAACAAGACAAAACTAGAAGAACCCAGAATCGGAGCAGGACAGAAAGCAGAACCCAGAACATGTACACAAGACATGAGGGAAGCATGAACAGGGCAGGACAGGACTGTACATGAACTGGGACTACAAGACAAAATAAAACAAGACCAGAGATGCAAGGCAAAACAAGAGGAGACATAACTAAGTACTATATATGTAAAACATTGGAGATTTAGACATATATAAATGGCCAAGATGTATGCAGCCCACCACTGCGGCAAAGTACTCCTATTACGGGGGGTTCCTATCTGCCTAGATATGCATGACTAAATAAACAATAATAAAACACACACAGCACTTACCTGCAAGAAAGGGGCAGAGGACTTGGAGCTGCCTGCAGGAACCAACTGAAACAGAAGGATTAATGGAAAAGGAAAGGGTGTGGCAGCATAAAACAAACATAAAGGAATCCAGGAGACTGGGAATTCCAGGAACAGAATAAAGGAATGAACCCAGAAAACCCAGCATAAAGAAAACCAGACATAGAATACAAAACCAGAAAAACCAAGGAAAACTAAACAAGAATAGTAAAAACAGTACTGGATACCAGAAGCCAAGGCCAGACATCTCCGCAGAACAGAGCAGAATGTGACAGATTGTAGTGTGATGTGGCGCATTGGAATATGCTTGGATGTTTGCACTGCTGGAATGTCGATAAGTGGGCAAACGTGATTGCACATGGCACCACCCCATTTATTTATTTTTCTCTCAGATTCCTCTCTTCCTTTATTTTCCATCTTTTCTTGCTCATTATTCTAATGCTCTTTTCATGCCCTCTCCTAACAAACCTGTCTCCTTATAACTTTAAGTGTGTTTTAAGTTGTTAGTTATTTTTGGCTTACTCAACTGGGACAGTTATAAACTAATTACAGAGTCCTACTCAAAGCATATCTGAGCATCCATCTCTACCGTATAAGGTTTGTAGCCGTTTATTTTAAAACTGAAGCAGCTTTCTAGAAGTTTTACATTGGATAAAGAGGTGTATTGCTCAGGTAGTGATATGGTTCTTATTGTCTCCGTAAAAGCTGTTAAGACTACACCAAACACTGAAGCCATAATGGGTGAGGTGGTAAGGTACCTGAAACTTTTTTTTACCGTAGACACTCTTGCTGGTCTCTCCTTATAAAGATATTGTTTGTTGATGTCATGACTTTGTAACCATGCCACTGTACTATTTGCATACAATTGTTTCACATCATATTGTTGAATTGACTTTACTCAATAAGATTTATTAGTCATAGACGTCCAAAGATATTTTTTGTCTCTATGGACCCTGCTATGAGGGAATTTGTATAGCGGGCTGGGGTCCAAAGATTGAAAATGAAGGATATATGTCTCTCCATGCACCTCAGAGGAGCTGGCTTTCCTTCTTTTGGTAATACCCTGCCACACACCTGTGACAAACCCCTGTTTTGTGGATATCAGTGCCCTTGTTTCCGAATGCCGTTCGTGCATTTATTCCCTTTTAGTTTACCGAATAAACTAACGAACAGCCAGACCACACGCAATGGGAGTGTGCAGCCTGTTAAGCTCCCAGAAGCTCAGGTTAACTGTAACTAATTGACAAACGGCTGGGTGGTCGCCGTTCGTATGAACGAACACGTGGTGGCAGCCGTCTTAAACTGTCGAATGCCCAGCGGTGTTTGGTCGTCCACCGCATGGAACTGTTTTCGGTCACTGTTTCACACGAACACAGCTGGGACTTACAAACTTCCATCTCTTCATTTCAGTTTATATGAACACCGCACCATTCGGTAACTTAATAACTCACCAACTAGACCGACCATGATAGCTAAAAGCCATGGAACTAATTCTGGACAGATTTCTGCCAAACGGTCGGTGAAAACTCTTTAACTCCATGGCGATTCGACTGTGTTTATGGGATCTGACCGCCGTTCAGATATATTGAGCGCTGAGATCCAAGCTATCTGGGGATATGTCGAATGTGGGGGTCCAGTTAGGGGAATTATGAGTTATGTATTTTAATGTGTTTTGTTACATTTATAACTTAGAAATATTTTCTGTACCTGGAGATAATTAAGTTACTACGGCCACTTAACCCAATTATCTCTAGGATAGAGAGGAGGGATTTTACTGTTTCTGTGGGAGTGTTTCACATTGTATTGTATTTTGATTGGCTACTGTAAATTGTGTCCCAGTCCTCCACAATGTCCATGTGGGAGTATCCCTTGCTGGAGGACCTGCATAAAAGGCCAATCTGTGGCCACCATTAAACAGATCATTTTACCCCTTCATGAAGTCTTGGCTCATGTTTGGGGGATTGGGAGCTATAATTCACTACACTTTCTGCTACACTTGGATTTCGGGAGATTCTGCTCGGATATACTCAGCTTGAGTATAGGGGATCTGTTACAACACCTATTATGGATCACTGATTGGCAGGCTGAGGATGGTACCAAACCTTGGATGGACTTAGAGACGACAGGCTCAGGGGGAACTCTACCAACTTTGGTTTGGCTGGGGAAACAGCATGTAGATCAAACACTGCTTGACCATCCTTACATTTGACAAAGATAAGTTCAACTTTGACAAAGATAAGTTCAACCTCTCTTCATGCAAGGTCCACTTTTCCCACTATCAATGAACCTGGACTTCCCTCTGGGAGCTCAGCCTTCCACACTGGAAATTCTGGGTACGGGTCCTACTGTTCACCTGACTTCTATCAGCAGACCCACAGGGATGGCCCCGTTGGACTCCACTCTAGATAATAGACCATGTATGCCACTTGAAAGATTCACCATCTATCAAATCAAGCACTTTTATAACTTTCTCCCAGGAAAGTCCAACACAATTCAAAACCCTTAGTTTGAAAGGGAGTCGCTTATAATGAGGTATGTCCAGTGAGGTATGAGCTAGACCCTATCAACCCACATATTACAAATGCACAGTCTGCGTTCAAACACTGCAGTCTCATATGTATACGTGTGAGCTGCTAAACCAAACATGAATCTAAATAAAATGCTAAAAATCTAATAGAAGGAGCAAATATCCCTGTATGTCTATAGATCCATAGCCTCATTACAAGGCTTTCGAGAGCATCTATCTATCATACATTATATCAGCTGCATAGCCTGTCAATTCCTATGACTCACACAACAAAAGCAAATGTAAAGTGCTCTATTAAATCTGTGTTAACATCCTATCATCAGAATAATGCCTAAGCTCTCCACTCTTAAAATCTGGCAAAGGTTGGACAGATTGGGCCTTTCATCATTCCCGCCCCCCGTACTCCTTCAATAACATCCCTGAATTTCCACCGGGTTTAGGGGCAGACCATATGCATGCTTTTCCCAACACGCACAGGTCCAGGTCGTCACATGACTAAAAGGGAAGGGGCTCAAGACCCTAGTGGACTTTGGAATTGGGGGACACTGTAGGAACCTTCTCAAATATGAACAAATAAAAGGATTTTTAGTCCGCATACCTTAACAACCTGACTTGTACAGGGTACTTACCCCATTTGAATTGTGTAAATCCTGACCCACAACCTCCTTGTTACATGGGAAATTGGGAAGAGGCCCTTGGGGAAACCCTCACAGACAACCAATAAGGGAAAATTTGCCATTTGGTACATCACTGCGCATTAGCTAGCAAAATCCAGGAGTCAGCCTATAAAGTCTTAACACAATGGTACAAAACACCACACCTCCTCCAGACGATAAACCCTGCCCTAGACATTGACTGTTGGCGTTCTCGGACCGCATTGGGCACGTTCATGCATTTCTGGTGGGACTGCTCTAAAATCCAACCTTTCTGGACGGCAATAATTGTCATGTTACAGAAGTTATCGGACAATCCACCGCCTCTCAGGCTGGCACCATTCCTCCTACATCACACCACTACTCCAGCAGCCAAATACAAGAAATCCATGTCCTTATGGATCTTGAACACAGCCAAACAAGTTATCCCCCTATACTGTAAAAAGGAGGTGCCCCCGCCTCTGACAACACGGAGGAACTGAGACTGTTAGAGGAACTGACTTTTGCGGCCCAGGGACATATACAAAGATACACAGATATCTGGACTCACTGGCTGCTTGAAGCTTACCATCCAGACTTTCAAGCCCTATTGATGTATGGTACCCTGACAGACACAACTGAGGGATCTGGGACAGCAGTATGGGTGCGGGC